AAATGGGACACTCGTATTTCAAAAATAAATATTGATTTTCTTGAGGAAAACATGTCATATTATATACCAGTGGATAGGGAATTTACTTATCTTTAATTTAGTATATCATAAGTTCAAATTTATTATAATGTCTGTCAACCAGCGTCCGTTATATAAATGACGTCATTTTAGTTTCAAAACGGGTTTTCCAAAACTTGCAAAAAACAAGTTTTTATGTCAACTTTGTTTACACAAACAGACGTTCAATTTGTACATTTTGATCAATTATAGCCCTCAATTTTGGCCTAAACTGGTCAAAAACATCATTGATATTCTGTTGAGACAATGAAATCCACTTCTCAACAAGTCTATCCTTAATAAGGTGACTGAGTAGATGTAAGGGGTTCATGGTAAACCAATTCTGTAGGTTCTCCCAATACGTGGTAGTCGCAGATGTTGACATCGCATTATCCAATTATATTGTTTTTAGACCATCCTGATATGAGCTCATTCTCGAATCATTACATTTTCCAACAAGGTGGGGCTCCATGCAATAGATGTCACAAGAGTGTCAAATGTTTAAAGGAAAATTTGCCTAGATTCATGCCCCTAATCGCTGCCTCCCCCAGACCAGATCACACGATCACCCAACATCTGCAGCTACCACGTATGGGGAGAACTAACAGAACTCGTGTCCCATGAATCCTTTACATCTATTCAGTCTCTTGAGGACAGAATTGAATTAATGAGAAGTGAAATTCATTGTCTAAACAGCATATAAATGATGCTATTGGCCAGTTTAGGCCAAAATTGAGGGGTACAATTGATCAAAATGGTGGACATATTGAACGTCTGTTTATGTAAATAAAGTTGACAATAAAACTTGTTTTTGCAAGTTTTGGAAAACCCGTTTTGAAATGAAAATGACGTCATTTATATTATGGACGCTGGTTGACAGACATTATAATAAATTTGAACTTATGATATACCAAATTAAAGATAAGTAAATTCCCTATCCACTGGTATATAATATGACATGTTTTCATCAAGAAAATCAATATTTATTTTTGAAATATGAGCGTCCCATTTTTTGGACCACCCTGTATATTATTTTTACTCTTAGATTACTTACATGTATAAGAATAAGACTGATTTTTTAATTAATGACAGTATACCCGGGCCTCAGATCTACAGTATACCAGTCATATTATGATATTATCTGACTGTTTAGCTAAGAGTTTAGTACATCGTCGCATGAGAATAACTTTGTACTATCTCACATTTTTACGGAACTGAGAAATCAAGGTTTGAAAGTTTAGAGGTCTGTATCTTACTTAGTATTGCTATGTGAAACTTGATTTTTTGTATGTCACCTGGTCTCACCCTAGAGATATCTTATATGAAATATCATACCTTGAAACAATTTACAAGATCCTTTTTTAAAACTATGGAAATGGAGTTGATACAATTTCCCACTGGAATAACAGCTTATTTCTGATTTCAAATTGTCATATCTGATATCAACTGTTTCAACCAATCAGCTCTCTAAGAATTGGTCATGTGACTTGCAAAACTTGGAGTTATAACAATCTTATATTAAAACAAAGTATGCCAATATGCATGTTATTGTATCTAGAATGAAAAATAATGTTTTGCTTTGTAAAAAATCTTCAAAAAACCAAAGAATATTATTTAATAAAATAAAGAAAATTCAATTTATAAAACTTTAAAATCAATTTCTCAAATAAGTACAATTATTTCTTAATTTTGGAATCTCAGGACACCTTTCAAAAAGAATTTATTGCCTTTGAAACTAAGGCAGAAGTACAATGCCTTGAAACCAATGATGCCAATACGGTCCCCCACATATTTCCCTCGGTATAAACCCTGTAGCCTAAACCTCCCAGCAAAGTTGATTTTTTCACTGGGTATTCACCTTTCAACAAAGTCAGCTCATGAATATTATAATGAGCTGCTTAAAAATCTGTGACGTCAATGACTGAAACTTTTTCCCGCGAAAAACAAATGCAATTGAGTTAACATGTAAATCCTCGGTTGATTGCTGTAAGTTTTACCTCTTCAAATGTGCAAGTAATCAGTAAATTATTGACAGATTTTTATTGAACGTCAAATTGACATTTATTTACGCCTTCTAAGCGATTTAAATATTAAATTTCTGTTCATAATGAGTAAATAATTTGAAGAGAATTACTACTGGTCAGTTTTCAATCATGATAGGAACTGCATGTGAACAGGTGAAATTATCATAATCATTAGTTCACCAACATTATAACATGTCTCTTATGCATAAAAATATAATATATCTGCCCGAGGGCCGAAGGTCTCGAGGGAAAATATATTATATTGGCCAAGGGATAATCCCAATATCCTGAACCGACTATAGGATAGTATGTTTATCCCATACTGATCTTGGTCATCTGGTTTACATTGTTCAATCGTGGAAATACTTTTAGAATATTCATGTTCAGTTTTGTTTTCTTGGCCGTGGGCGGATTTTCCTGTTCTCTCAAAATTTCCCAATATACGTCCAATATACGTCCAAGTATGGGTTTAACATGTATATATATTCCAATGTATATTTCCCGCTGCGTATCTCCCGATCCAAATATCCCCGGGAAAATGTTTTTTATTCAGTGTAGAAACAGTCAATTTGTTAAAATATCTTGCTAAAGCAAAACTGTCAAAATAGATCCAGCAGACCGTAGAATTTTTCTTAACCAAAATGATGATGGATTTCTCGAAAATAATGAGAATGATGAGAACGCTTAATAGAAATCAAACATGGATATGGGTGTCCTGATTTCACTTGTGAAACCTCACTTGTCATTGGATAAATTAGTTATGTGATGATCGGTTTTGAATAATGATGACTGGGAAGATTTCAGAGAAAGAGCGTATATCAAATAATGTTTATTGATGATATGTTGACATTGCTGATCATTATTGACATCGCTGATGGCGAATAAATACCAAAAGGTAACGCTTTGCGCGAATGTCACTCATGGTGAATTTCTGATGGAACTTCTTACTACGACATAATAACCATTTAACAGGATAGTGTATGACCACTATCAGATAGTTTAGCCAATGTTTGTAACTTCACAATTTACATTTTTTGTTTACAATCGCACGAGACACGTGAGCCCGGGTATGTGAGGCTGATCTGAGAAGTCTTAATAAACAATAGTTCTGTCAAAAAAATGATTAAATTAAATTACATAAGATTCGGAAAGAAAGTGCCCCGTCCATATTTCATATTTGCTTTAAAATAATTAGTACGTTGGGCAAATAGAATCCTTTTTATAGCAGTTAATTCAAATTATTCCTATGCTGGCTGTACTAATTCTTCAAAACTTTCCATCATTGACGTCATTGATTTGACTCATTTGCATACAACCAATCAGCGCGCCGGAAATTATCGATTTTCTTTACTTTGTGGAAAGGTGAATAGGAGAATAACATTGCAACTGGTCCGTAATTCCATTTTGACCAGCAGGTTTCAGATCCTTAGGGCCTAAGACATAACCAATTTTTATTACATGCACATGGAAGAAATTTGAAATTAGAAAAATAATTTCTAATTAATTTTAGATTAATGAAAGTGATGAAACCTCGATTTAGGTAATCACATTTTGTTCATTGGGATGCAGCTATCATTATCCATTCATTTTCTGTTGTTTGCTACTCTGTGGAGTACAATTGGGAATTGAAGCAATTGTAGAAGTGGAGACTAAGAGTGGCTCTTTGTAAAAAAAATTGAACCAATTTGTTACTTTTCCAAAATAAAATGTAGATGATCTGAAAACAATGATCCCAAAAATGCAAAAGAAAGGACAAATCTGAAAAACATACTAGTAAATAACTAAAAAGATCCCAGATGTTCAGTGAAAATTTCAAAGTAAATCATAGATGAAGAGAAAATAAAATAAGTGTTTTAAGGGACTATACTAACATAAAGATAACTCCTTATTGATATAGTGTATGGTCAGTAAAAGTTAAAGCTAGTTTAAATAGATTTAGCTTTTTTCCACAAACTATAAAACATCATTTTGAAAGAGATTTCAATAGTATACAGACAGTGATTGCCTTTGAGCGATGAAAGCAAAATATGACAGTTACTATTTGTTTTGATTACTATATCTAGTATATAACCTATTATTATGTACTCTATTTGAAGAAACAAATAAGTAGTCTTTCATTTTCAACATTTAATGATGACAGCTTCGTATATGCATTTCTATTGCATTTGGCCATTCAAACCCCTATAAGACCTGGTAGCAAGGAAGATAAAGGGTACTTTTGACTGCTCACATGATCTAATTAACTGGTCATTTGTACTTTTCATCTTCCCTGGTAGCAAGGATTTAGGTTTTCGAGGAAATTAGTAATTCTATTTCATATCATGTGGCCATGAATATCAATAATCCAATGAGCATCCATAATACAAAGAGTAATTGAGGGCATATAATTTGAATATGCATGGGAATACACATACTGTATCATTTTATTTTTTGATCTACTTGTAATAGTTCTAAAACTAAAACATGAAAGGCCAGGCATGCAAACTGGCATGGTATTGTGTTACAAAACATTATTTCATTCTAGATACAATAACATGCATATTGGCATACTTCGTTTTAATATAAGATTGTTATAACTCCAAGTTTTGCAAGTCACATGACCAATTCTTAGAGAGTTGATTGGTTGAAACAGTTGATATCAGATATGACAATTTGAAACCAAGTGAACCAAGTTTGTCTGGAGATGGTACAATTTCACACTGAATTCTAGCTTAATGAGAGGGAATTGAGATGGGGCATGTATCTGAGATGAAAGCCTGTGTTTCAAATAGTAAAATTCCATGTCTATCTCAATTTTTTTGAAAATGGCAGTTAGTACAAAGTTATTCTCATGCGACGACATGTAGAATAGGAACCTGGCTGTGACCAACGACCTGTTGTAAATCAGTCAATTGACACCGTTGAAATTAAATGTATTCCAGCAGCGTTTGAGAAGCAGAATATACTACAGAGGCATATCAGTAGAGTACAGTCAAGGCCAGGAGTGTAAGGACACCAAACGCAACCAGCATATTACTCATAAGACAATTGTTATCAAGAATGTCTGAGCATTCCTATCATATTTCATTGTTGAGTTAACTAACATTCGTACATACAAGTACTCACATTTCTTAAAAATTTGCTCCGAAATAAGGACATTGTGTAAAATTATATATTGAATTCAAAGTAATACAAGTTTGTAGCCATGGGCACATGTTATAGGTAGTATAAGACCAATCTATATCAGTTCGTATACTTTCTAGTATTGCAATTGGTGCAATAAGGTAGTATTCTTGTTAACCTTTGGGTCTCTTTGACAATATACCTTATTTTACCGCCGATATGGCTCATGCTTTAGCTTCTCGTCCTCCAAGACCAACTGCATTGCGTAATACGAGCAACAGTGTCGAGATCGCGTGGCATTCATCTAAGTATGATAATACACATGGCAAAGTTACATCTTATAACATAAAGAAACTGCACAAAACAAACAATGACTGGAAAGAAGAAGTGGAGAATATAAAAGCGAATGAAATTGGATTAACAGGCCAGGTCTCGATTGTTATTCAGGTGGAACCAAATTGTTCATACAGGTTTGCTGTAATTGCGTTGTACAGTGATGGTTCAACCAGCGCGCCGAGCGAATGGAGTGAAAGCGTAAAGCTCGATGATGAAGAAGTTCAAAATATAGCTGTTTCTTGGAAAGATAAAGCACTGGCATTGTCAACAGTTGTGAAAGAGGGTCATCCTACGATCCACCAGTTAAATCTCACTTCGACTTATAAAAGCCAATCTGAAAATATCCGGAAATTCGAGGTTGGGCACCAGAATATGAGCAGTAACATGGTTGAAAAGGTCATCATGCTTGTTGGTGCTACCGGTGCTGGGAAAAGTACCTTCATTAACGCCATGGTTAATTACTTGTTTGATATTAAATTTGACGACGATGTGCGATTGAAAATCATTGATGAAGACACGAAAGCTGATCAAGCGCAGAGCCAAACGAAACACATCACATCGTACACAATCCACGGAACTAAAGTTGGATTTATTGTCACAATTGTTGATACACCAGGATTCGGTGATTCTGGAGGTTACATAAGAGATGAGGAAATTTCTAAAGAAATGCACACGTTTTTCACCTCTTCGGCTGGACGGATAACTCACGTCGACGCAGTTGGCTTTCTAACGCAAGCATCATTGCCAAGACTCACGCCAACACAGAAGTACATATTCGATAAGATTCTGTCTTTATTTGGAAAAGACATCAAGGACAACATTTTGATGCTTTTCACGTTTGCAGATGGAAATGAGCCTCAGGTACTAAGTGGAATAAATCAAGCTAATATTCATTTTAGCGATTATTTTACGTTTAACAATACCGATCTTTTTGAAGAAAAGAAGACAACTAAGAGGCAAAATATGATCAACGAGTTAGCCTGGGAAATAAGCATCGAAGGATATGATGGTTTCTTCAAAGTTATTGAAACGTATCCTCCAAGAAGTTTAATTCTAACTCAAGAGGTCTTAGAGGAGAGAAATGTCCTGCAGGCAGCGGTTATCAGCATACACGAAGATATAAAGAATGGGTTGGGGAAGTTAGAAAATATACGAATGGAGATAAAAATTGTCAATCAATTGGAGGAAGATATAATTGCCAACCAAAACTATGAATATCAGGCAAAAGAAGATTTTCAGGAAATGACGAAAGCGAAAACACGTTCGTACAATTGCAATACCTGCCAAAAAACATGCATCCTGGGAAAGTTCACTTTTCTAACTGAACTTACTAGAGTGTTCAGAGTAATACTTTTCCCCTCCAAACGATATGAAGATGTTGCACGAGATACATGTAAATGTCCTACCTGTGGATGTGAAGAAGCGAACCATGTATATTCTCCATTCGTATGGAAGACCGTAAAAAAAGGAACGACTAAAACGTTAGATGATATGAAAAAGCGATATGACCAAAGTATTGAGACGAAATTAACAAAGGAAAAGTTGATCGCCGAGTTGAAAACTGATTTTGATAAACACCAGGCAAACACGCTTATGCTTACAGAGAAAGTTAGAAAAATAGTGGTGCGACTTAACGAGATTGCACTGAAGCCGAATCCGATTTCGTCATTAGAATACATAGATATGATGATCATTCAAGAGAAAGCTGATGCGTTTCCAGGCTTTTTGGAAAGAGTGATGGAACTACAAGATCTTCGGGCAAAAACGGGCACGTTGATGGAAATAATTGAGAAGGGTGCCAATCATGATTTGTTTTCACAGTATAGTAACACAGAGTTGTGGAATCAAGTGATGGATGTTATCAAAAGAAACAAAGAAGAAAGTAATGAAGATGCTGATGCTGATGATGATGCTGATGATGTTGCTGAAAACTAAAAGATAATGCAAGGCAGATGGAAATAGCAACGTGTGACGTCGATGAAGATCCGACAAAAGCCGTTTAAAACGCAAACATAGAAAAGAAAAACAAAACGAATTAATATGATAAAAAAGTACATTTGTATCCATATTAACAGAAAATTCGACTTGCAAAGATAAGAACTATTTAATTCTAAACGCTCAACAAAATAAAAATTCTAAACGTTAAACGCAACAATATAACAAAAAGCATTTCAACAAAACCATAATTATCGGCCGGTAAATTATAAAGGACAATTTTCACGCAAAGTAACTAGAATAAACAAAATAGGATTCTGTCACTCGTTGATTGTCTGCCCATTTTGAATATAGTCATTAGATCAGCAGAGTTGCTCGTATTACAAAATTCATGTCTGATTGGATGAGCGGCTGAAGGACATGTTAACAAAGCAAGTTAAAACAACTTTCAGTAATGCATTTTTAAAGGGCCAATAGGTGTAATCCTCATCCTTTAAGTCTATTGATTGTGAAAGTTTCATGTTAGCCTATCAATTAAAAATATATTAGGTTTAATTATGATAAGAATTAAAGCTGTTAACCCTTTAAGGTTTGAAATTATAACGATACAAAATATTAGCCCTTTTAGGGTATGGAATTGCTTATATTGTAACGAACGCTGTAAATATTTTGTATGTAACCTCATTTACTCCAATTAGATGAAATACAGCAAAATGCTTGTTTTAGCATGTCTCCATTTCGATTCAGGACTGATGTCAAGGTGTTTTTAGTTAGTTAGATGTATATACCTATACATGGAAGGTATAGTATACGTGACTTTTATTTTAGACGTACATTTGTAAAAATAGATGTCACATTAGACAATGTTGGCTCACTGTTCATCACCATCGTTTTGTTAATTTTGGACATTAATTAATTTTTTGATGAATTAATTAATGTTTGTATTTGGTGCGATGGGGAATATCTTGCTGTAAATAAAACTATTTGTTTTTCCCATCGTGTATCAATGCCATGCCCCGCTGTCTCTGCCCCAGAGTATTCACATGGTGGCGAACTATGAGCCCACACGGCCATCTTCATAAATATTTAGTGGAATTGAAAAGGTAAACAAGATGCTGTATGATGAATAGAATAGTGAAAGTAAAATAAAGTGTGCTTTAATGGATAATTACGTAATGCCTTTGACAATATGCAAAATTTATTTAGATTATTCGTAGTATTTATGTAAACAGTTATATATATACTGTATATATATTATTTCTTAAGATATAATACAATGGATGAACGGGGTACTATGAATAATACGTGCATTTGATCTCAAAACAGTACTAAACATTATGTTCATCATCGGACGCATCAGTATTGATTGAACACATATTCTATAGTTGTTTGTATTTTAAAATCATTCGCTATGCAATGTTTGGCTATGTGGGTGAAGGATACAGCTTGCACATTCTGTGAAAATTTCATTAGAATATTTTGAAAAATAAGGAAATTAGAGAGATATTATGAGAACTTTATGTTCAACCCTCGTATATTGTATTAAGAAGAGCCAGGACTCTTATAGTTGGCACTATTAGTTTTCACTTATGGTGGCTCTTCGCAACAGTCCCATTGATTTGTGTAAATATTGCTGAAATAAACTTCATACACGTAAAATACACAAATCAAAGTAATGTCCCATTTTTTCTTAATGATTATTTACTTCCATGTTTTGAATTACAATATCAAAAGGTTTCAGATGCTTACGAAAATATTCATCACCGAAGAATTCTGAAGTAATTATATTTGTTTAAGTATACAGTTAAACGCAATAAATTATTCGCCATTCATGAGCAGTCATTAAGGCTATTAGAAACATGCACTGTATACATTCATACCCTTGTCTTGTCTATATATGAAATGAAAAAATGTATATACTGCATTATATTCTGACATTTGGATTGTTATAACAATGTGATTGTGACATGAATGCGTATCATTAAAATGACATACAGTGAAACCTGTGTACAATGAACATCTATGGAGGCACAAAAATGTGTTCACTATAGGTATATAGGTTTTCACTACAGAGGAAATTTTATATAGAAGTGAATGGAGTAAGTGCTGAGAAGAAGTGATCACTAGACACATGTGTTCACTACAGAGATGTGTTCACTGAGACAGATTTTACTGTAATTTAATAGTTAAACTTGTTGTATTTCGTGTAAATTAGATTAACATGTTAAGCAAATAAATATACATGCTTCGTAGCCTAAACAATGAGTTTGTCTGTATGAAAACAATGAAAACTCTTGACTGATCTTGGCATTGAAGTTTCAAATACTCGTTAACTGCAAATGTGAGATTCCATGGAACTAAATCAACGCCGTGTTACAACACCCCTGAAGTTGTCAACCAGTGTGGGATTACTAGTTTTGGAACTGATTAATCCTTGGCATTTGAATCATGAATATATGAGCAAATATGTGAGAATTGCCATCTACATTGGTTATGGTTATCATTAATCAAGGACTCGTTCTAGAAAATGTTAACTCGTTTAGATGGCACTCCATTACATTTTGCTTGTCGTAAGAAAACCAAACACCAAATATCCCAAATTGTGATCTCACATGTGAATGGAAATGTCTAATACCCATTATACCCTACCATTCAGGAAGCATTGTCACAATCAAAGACCACACAATTATCAGAAATCGCAACTGACGTGTTAAGAATACTACTGACACATTGCATTGGATGTTTCATTCAGTTTTCGTATGTTTTGTGATTTCATATATAATCATCCACTTAGCACACACTTTTTAAAATTCGTATTTTCCAAATCAAATTCACAAAATCTCAAATACATGCTAAACTAGAATACTTTATGAAAAACACGTTTTTTAAAAATGAAACGATCATTTATATAAAACAGAGTGAGCCAGAAGAGGTAACCAAAACAAATGTTAATTACTTATGCCTTGGTCACATTTGCTCCGATTTTCACTTCGGCGCCCGCCCGATTGAGTATTTTGTTCAAAATTGAATACAATATTGAACAAAACAAAGCGCCGGCCGATGGATCGGAGCAAATGTGACCCAGGCATTAGTCATCCAGCATGAGTTTAATGTCATGTTTGGCACAATAGAACCTTGCTAAATGTTCTTTTTTTCTTGGTCTGTTCCAAATGGTCTTGCCCCGTCTCAAGAGGCAACTTGTAAACGCATCAGGTGATGTTGTTCTGAGTACACTCACAGACATCTTGTGTAATGGCTTTCATCTTCCTTCTAATTTGTTGTTCCAACTCTCAGGTGCTTCCAGAGTTGTTAGTGTAGACATTATCTTTGAAATAGTCCCAAAGATATAATTCTAGGGGTTCATACTAAGTGACTTTGACATGTTTCGGCATTTGAAGCGCGTTTTGTAAAATGGCAATTCAACATTGACTACTTGCGAAATGAAGAGAAATTGAACAAGGATCAATTGTGTCAAATATGAGGTCAAATTCATGCTGGATGCCTGATTTATCAACATCTGTTTGGGCTACCTTTTTTGGCTCACCCCGTATCAAAGGACAAAAAATGAATACCGAACTTTGTCTTATTCTCTGGTGCTGGTAGATCTCAAATTGCTCAACAAAATTGAATTTGGAAATCTGTATTGTACTGCTTATATCCCTTTATTTTATGATGCATATTTCTCTCGATTTTGGGAAGCTATGGCCGCCGTACGGTTGCTGTAGATCAAATGTTACATACACGTAATACTCGAATTTTCAGCATCTGCATAAGAAGAAGGGACACGTTTTTTTTGTTATTGACCTTTCATTGCTTGTTTTCAATCACATTTTCAGATTTACGGTTAGCATTATTTTAAACAATGAGATCTACATGTACATACAGTGTAGTCGCTAAAATCAAACAATTTCAAGCGCAAATTGTAGCTGCCTCATATTCTCCAGGTCTCCCAGGACAAAGTTAATTGATCCAGTGATCTTTATTTCATTAAAGGGAAAGTCTCGATCAATGTCAGCCGTGTCCATAGTTTCCGTCCATACATTTGCATGTATATAGGGAGTTGTATTTTGTCAACTATTACGATAGTCAAAACGATAAAAAAGAAATACATTTGAACAACAGACTGTGAATAGCATCATCGGGGTGAAAATATAGAATACATAATATCAATGAATAAATAAATAAATAAATAAAGAGGAGACGCTCTAATTGTTATTCAAGGCAAATCACGGGAAACAATTAGAGATCTGCCGTTCAACAACAAAGGATATTAAATTCCTATATATTCATCTATAAAAGAAAAAATGAACATAAAAGAAAGGTAATTAACTACTGCCATAACCTGCGTTCTGCTTCATGAATTAGTTACATAAAAACGACCTAGATTAGTATTGAGGATGGCAGATCAGGCCCGTAGCCAGGATTTGCCAGGGGGGGGGAGGTTCAGTTTTCAATATGGCTAAAATCACTTGAAAAGTGCTCAAAATGGTGAAAAACTGCATGATTTTGAAAGCATTTTTGGTCAGGGGGGGGGGGGGGGGGGGGGGGTTCGCCCGAATCCTGCGACCCCCCCGGCTACGGGCCTGCAGATATTACCTTAGATTATACTTATAGTGTACGCGTACAATTTTTCATTTGACAAATTACAATTTACAGTTCTAGAAACAGGACTCTGGTCACTAAAGTTATAAAGACGGAAGACGAACATTGTAGATCATAAAGAAAATTAATGAAATACATGTATATGTCATTTAATGTCATCTTCGCGTATTTCATTAATTTTCATTTATTTTTAATCATTATGAGGTTTATTACAAATCATCAAATTGTAATAAATATAAATAAAGGTAATGGTAATAAAGATAAGATTGTGATTATTTGCATTTGTTCATTTCAAATAAGACGCAGCGACATAATTAAGACATTGACCTGAAAAAATGTCACCAACAAGTTGCAATTAACAAAGAAACAATAAAATAGTTTCTAAATAGCAGAAAAAG